CCCAAGGAACTTGAGTAAGTAGAATAAGTAAATATTGCTCTTTTCCAACAAATATTTACTGGTTCTCTCCATGGGCCAGGCATCGCGCTCAGTACCAGAACATAGAAACTTAAAATAAATCAAACATGGCAAGGTACCATATGTTAATTTAAAAATAAAATTATAATGTATTATAAGAAGTATCATAGAATGTTAGTTTTCACTAAGCACCAAATATATGTGTGTGCGTGTACACGCGCATACACCGAAACACATGTCTATATCCTAGGCCTTGCTCTAGAGCAGCTCAGAGATTGGTGCAGAGACCAAAAGACACATGCACAGGGACGGTCCTCGGATCACGCTGAGCTGCAGCCGTGTGCACAGCACACTGGGGCACGGACCATGCAAGGTTTTCCTGCGCCCTGCACTGTGACCCTGATTCCCTGCAGATGACCCTGGCTCAGGTTCAGAAGTGGGTCAGGTGACTACATGGACAGAAGGAGAATCCCACAGAATAGTGTGGAATGGGGAGGAAGAAGAGGGGACACCAGGAATACCATGGAGGAGGGGACACCAAGAGTGGGGAGGAGGAGGGACACCAGGAGTGGGATGAAGAGGAGGAGACACTAGGAGGGGGAATGAGAAGGAGGAGGGGACATCAGGAAATGGGATGATGAGCAGAAGGGACACCAATAGTGCAGATGAGGAGGACATGTCACTACAAATGGGGATAATGAGGAGGAGGAGAACCAGGAGTGGGGAGGGGATGAGGAGGATAAGGAGGAGGAGAAGCTGACATAGGAATGGGGGGAGGAGGAGGAGAAACAAAGTATGGGCCTGAGGAGGAGATTGGAACACCAAGAATGAGGATAAAGAGGAGGGGAAACCAAACATGGTGATGAGGAGGAGGAGGGGACACCAAGCATGGTGATGAGGAGGGGGAGGGGACACCAAGAATGGGTATGAGGAGGAGGAGGGGACACCAAGAATGGGGATGAGGAGTAGGAGGGGACACCAAGAATGGGGATGAGGAGGAGGAGGGACACTAAGAATGGGGATGAGGAGGAGGAGGGGACACCAAGCATGGGGATGAGGAGGGGGAGGGGACACCAAGAATGGGGATGAGGAGGAGGAGGGACACCAAGCATGGTGATGAGGAGGGGGAGGGGACACCAAGAATGGGGATGAGGAGGAGGAGGGGACACCAAGAATGGGGATGAGGAGTAGGAGGGGACACCAAGAATGAGGATGAGGAGGAGGAGGGGACACCAAGCATGGGGATGAGGAGGGGGAGGGGACACCAAGAATGGGGATGAGGAAGAGGAGGGGACACCAAGAATGAGGAGGAGGAGGAGGAGGGACACCAAGAATGGGGATGAGGAGGAGGGGACACCAAGTATGGGAATGAGAAGGAGGGGACACCAAGAATGGGGACGAGGAGGACGAAGGGACACCAGGTGTGGGGATGAGGAGTGGGAGTAAACCAAAGGAATGGGGATGAGAAGAGAGATGGCCACAGGTGGGGGGAGGAGTAGGAAGATGTGTCACTAGATATGGGGATAAGGCCAAGTTGGTTACAGCTACTAAGGGTAAATGAGGACACATAACTGAGAATGAGGAAGAGGAAATATCACAAGAGTCAAGAAGAGAAGAAGAAGAGGACAGCAGAGACAGGGATGAGGAGGAGAAGGGGCAGCAGAGACAGGGATGAGGAGGAGAAGGGGACGAGAGACGGGGATGAGGAGGAGAAGGGGAAGAGGGACAGGGATGAGGAGAAGGGGCAGCAGGGACAGGGATGAGGAGGATAAGGCGCAGCAGGGACAGAAGTGGGGAGGAGAAGGGACAACAGGGATGATGAGGAGAATGGGAAGAGGGACAGGGATGAGGAGGATAAGGCACAGCAGGAACAGGGATGAAGAGGAGAAGGGACAGCAGGGACAGGGATGAGGAGGAGAAGGGACAGCAGGGACAGGGATGAAGAGGAGAAGGGACAGCAGGGACAGGGATGAGGAGGAGAAGGGACAACAGGGACAGGGATGAGGAGGAGAATGGGAAGAGGGACAGGGATGAGGAGGATAAGGCACAGCAGGAACAGGGATGAAGAGGAGAAGGGATAGCAGGGACAGGGATGAGGAGGAGAAGGGACAGCAGGGACAGGGATGAAGAGGAGAAGGGACAGCAGGGACAGGGATGAGGAGGAGAAGGGACAATAGGAACAGGGATGAGGTGGAGAAGGGCACGAGGGACAGGGATGAGAAGGAGAAGAGGAAAGGTACAGGGATGAAGAGAGGGAGAAGAGGGACAGGGACGAGGAGGAGAAAGGGCAGAAGGCACAGGGATGAAGAGGAGAAGAGGAAGAAGGACAGAAATGAGGAGGAGAAGGGGCAGCAGGGACACGGATGAGGCACCGAACGGGAGGCAGTGACGGGGATTTGGAGGAGAAGGGGAAGAGGGACAGGGATGAGGAGGAGAAGGGACAATAGGAACAGGGATGAGGAGGAGAAGGGGAAGAGGGATAGGGATGAGGAGGTGAAGGGGCAACATGGACAGGGATGAGTAGAAGGGACAATAGCAACAGGGATGAGGTGGAGAAGGGGACGAGGGACAGGGATGAGGAGGAGAAGAGTTAGCAGGGACAGGGATGAGGAGGAGAAGGGGCAGCAGTGACAGGCATGAAGAGGAAAAGGGGAAAAAGGAAAGGGATGAGAAGGAGAAGGGGAAGCATGGACAGGGATGAGGAGGAGAAGGGGCCACCGGGACAGGGATGAGGCGGAGAAGGGGCAAGAGGGCCAGGGATGAGGAGGAGAAGGGGCAGCAGGGACAGGGATGAGGAGAGGAAGGGGATGAGGGACAGGGATGAGCAGGAGAAGGCGCAACAGGAATAGGGATAAGAAGGAGAAGGGGAAGAGGGACAGAGATCTGGAGGAGAAGGCGCTTAAGGGACAGGGATGAGGAGGAGAAGGGAAGAGGGACAAGGATGAGGAAAAAAAGTGCAGCAGGAATACGGATGAGAAGGAGAATGGGAAGAGGGACAGGGATGAGGAGGAGAAGGTGCAACAGGAATAGGGTTGAGAAGGAGAAGGGGCAGCAGGGACAGGGATGAGACGTAGAACGGGGAGAGGGACAGGGATGAGGAGGAGAAGGGGAAGAGGGACAGGGATGAGGAGGAGAAGGCGCAGCAGGGAAAGGGATGAGGAGAAGAAGGGGCATCAGGGACAGGGATGAGTAGGAGATGGGAAGAGGGACAGGGATGAGGACAAGAAGGGGTAGAGGGACAGGGATGAGAAGGAGAATGGGAAGAGGTACAGGGATGAAGAAAGGGGAAGAGGGACAGGGATGAGGAGGAGAAGGGGCAACAGGGACAGGGATGACAAGGAGAAGGCGCAGCAGGGACAGGGATGAGGAGGGGAAGAGAGACAGGGATGAGGAGGAGAAGGGGCAGCAGGGACAGGACTAGGAGGAGAAGGGACAAGGATGAGAAGAAGGGTATGAAGGAAGGGAAGAGAAGGAGAAGGGGAAGAGGTGCAGGGATGAGGAGAAGTGGCAGCAGGGACAAGGATGAGGAGAAGGGACAATAGGGACAGGGATGAGGAGAAGAGGACGAGGGACAGTGATGAAAAGGAGAAGGGGAATAGGTAAAGGGATGAAGAGAGGGGGAAGAGGGACAGGGATGAGGAGGAGAAGGGGCAGCAGGGACAAGGATGAGGAGGAGAAGGGGCAACAAAGACAGGGACAAGGAGGAGAAGGGACAATAGGGACAGGGATGAAGAGGAGAAGGGGATGAGGTACAGGGATGAGGAGAAGGGGCAGCAGGGACAGGCATGAGGAGGAGAAGTGGCAGCAGGGACAGGGATGATGTGGAGAAGGGGCAGCAGGGACAGGCATGAGGAGGAGAAGTGGCAGCAGGGACAGGGATGAGGAGGAGAAGGGCAGCAGGGACAGGGATGAGGAGGAGAAGTGGCAGCAGGGACAGGGATGAGGAGGAGAAGGGCAGCAGGGACAGGGATGAGGAGGAGAAGGAGCACCAGGAACACGGATGAGGGGAGAGGGGCAGCAAAGACAGGGATGAGGAGGAGAAGGAGCATCAGGGACAGGGATGAGGAGGAGAAGGGCAGCAGGGACACGGATGTATAGTGAGGCACCAGGAACATGGATGAGGGGAGAGGGGCAGCAGGGACAGGGATGCAGGGATGAGGAGGAGAAGGGATAGACTCCTCAGATCTCCATGTGACAGGAAACAGCAACATCTTCTCCAGCCCCCTGCACAGCAGCAAGTGTGCCTCAAGGGCTGCCCCCTCCCCCGCGGGGACCTCACACAGTGCTGTGACATCCCCTCCCCCTCCTGGGAGGGGCCCATGCAGGAAGCAGGAGGGCAGTGTGGGGCCAGGCCGCCAAGCTGGAGTGCTCACACTCCTGATGCCCAGAGTTGGGGTGCTCTTCCACCCCCAGCGGCATCCTGTCCTAGAGGTTCTCCCTGTCCCGCCCAGGAAATGCTGGGCAGGAGTCCTGGAATTCCAGGAGTAAGCTAGGAAGAGGAGACCTGAGGTAAGGAAGTCATCCCTTTCCAAAGAGAGAGGCGCCCAGTACTGCGGTGGTGCCTCCCTGATGAGCTCTCCAGGCGGGGGAAGAGGAGCAGGGTTTATGTCAGATGAAGGTAGAAGTGAAGGTCCCAGAGGAGGCTTTCTAGAATGTTCCATTGGGGCTGTCTTGTACCTTGCCAAGATTAGACCTCGAGACCTGGAGATAGCCAAGCAATTAGCATTCGAGACCAGGGCAAGGGACCGGAACAGTAAGATCACAGTGTCACCTACAGACTGCTCCCAGACTGGTCCCAGCCCTGGGGACGCTCACCAGAGCATTGTGAAGTTTGCAGGTGCTCCCTCAAGGGAGGGAATTTACCCAGAAACAGCAGAAATGTAACCACTTCTCCAAGCCGGAACCTGGAAACTCGTCCGGAACACCGGCCCGCAGTCCTTCCCGGCATCCCGCGCGAGGCGGGCGGGGACTGCGCCGCGGGCGCGCCCCGCTGCCTGGCTGCCGACGGCCGCGGCGCGCACTGGCGCGTGCTCCGTCATCTCCTCAGGGCCCCTGCGTTTTGAGGAGCGTCGGCTCTGGGAACCGCGTCCCCAGCAGCCGCGGACAGGTGTGAAAGCCACGCCTTGCCCGGCCGAGCTCACGTCCGGCCGCGCTCGGAGAGGGAGCGTCGCCATGAAGGCGCTGGGGATGTTTGCTGTCTACGCAAGCCCCACCCGCAGTCTCCGCACGCGGCCCTCGATGCATCAGGGGTCCTGTGCCAAGGCAGAGGACACAGCCTCAGGCGGCCGGGCACACGCGTGGCCACGCGGGGGCAGACGGACGGTGTGCCAGACCTGTCGGGGTCAGCCCTGCTCCCAGGCAGCCTGCTCCAGCAGGAGCCTCGGCCCAGGCCCCCCGAGGAGGAAAGGTGGCTGAAGCCGCTGTCCTCGTGTCCGCAGGTAAGCCAGCCTGGGCCCGCCACGGCCTGGGGTCTTGCTGCCCTTCGGCCTCGCCTGGGCGGGGCTGTGCGTGCTAAGAGAAGCCCTGGCGCCTCCCTGCCTGCCCTGCGCGAGCCGTGGGCGGGGGGCGGGCAAGGGGGGCCGGGGGCCGGGGGGCGGGCGGGGGGGTCGGGGCGGCGGGAGGCCGGGACGGGCGGGGGGGGGGCGGCGGCGGGGGCGGGCGGCGGCGGCGGGCCGGGGGCGGCGGCGGCGGGGCGGGCGGCGGGCCGGCTGCCGTGTGGCGGTGGGAGGCAGACCCGACCCCTCTCCACACAGCGAGAGAACCAAAGCGCCAGGGCTCTGGAGCCACACCTGCGTCTCGCGGGAAGTGCTTCTGCCTCAGCGAATGGGCTCAGAGAACGTGCCCCGCGGGAGCCCCAGGCCTGTGGGCTGCTCCGGCGGGGGAGGGAGTGGGCAGAACCCCGCCCCTCCCCCGCACCCACGCGCCCAGCTCCCGGCCCCTGCACCCTTCTGAGACCTCCCATTACTGTCCCCAGACAGGCTCCGCTTTACTCCAAGTTCCTTTCACTCCGCCGCAACCCAGACATTGCAGGGATCCCCTTCCCTCCTCAGAGACGGAGACTTGAACCCCAGTTTCGGAGATCTGAAGGTCTCCCAGAACATTTTTTATAAGTGTTAGATAATTTTTAAAAAATATTTTTGAGGCCGGGCGCGGTGGCTCACACCTGTAATCCTAGCACTCTGGGAGGCCGAGGCGGGCGGATCACTCAAGGTCAGGAGTTCAAAACCAGCCTGAGCAAGAGCGAGACCCCCTCTCTAGTATAAATAGAAAAAAATTAATTGGCCAACTAAAAATATATAGAAAAAATGAGCCGGGCATGGTGGCCCATGCCTATAGTCCCAGCTACTCGGGGGGCTGAGGCAGGAGGATCGCTTTGAGCCCAGGAGTTTGAGGTTGCTGTGAGCTAGGCTGATGCCACGGCACTCACTCTAGCCTGGGCAACAAAGCGAGACTCTGTCTCATATATATATATATATATATATAAACAATCCAAAGGTCCCTGGCAAATACTCAGATATCTATAGGGACTGATAGAGAAGAAAGGTTGTTTCTGAAATAAATGAGGGATGGGCCACAGATTGCATGTGTGGTGGAGAAGGCAGGTCATGCATCTTTGGAAGCATCAAACGATGCAGGAAATCCACATGGCGCACAAGGAATGAGGATGCCCAAGAGCGTAGCTCTGGGCAGACACCTGGCTTCTATCCCAGCTTTGCTCTACGCAGCTCTGTGGCCGAGAGCAAGTTACCCGACCTCTCCGTGTGCACACTGTCCAGCTAGTAGGCAGATTTAAGGGAAGTGGCCAGCCCTTGGGGTGTCGAGATAAACTGGGTTCTAGCTATGAAGACCTTAGAACAGTGCCTGGCATGCTCGGTATGTGAGCACTGCCACCTCCACCCCGTGGGCCAGATGCAGGAGGAGATGCCGCACAGGCAGGTGAGTTCCAGGTTTCTGGTTCTGCTTAGGACTCAGGAGCAGAGAGAGGTAGACGAGGGAAGATGTGGCGCAGAAGTGAGCTCACTAACCCCTCCGAGGTCCGGCTGTGGAGGGAAAGATGGAAATCCTAGAGGAGGCCAGGAGGGGAGTCCTGCTCCTGGTATTTTAGGACACGGCATGCCCACCAAGACAAAGTATTTTATAGCAGTTACTATCACAGAAAACTCCTATTCCAGCCTCCTTTGTGGGCCAGGGTGAGAAGCGGGCTCTCTAAAGTCAGCGTGCGCGGCTCCTTCTGTTTGGCGGTGCCCTGCCCGCAGCTCCGGCCTCCAAGGCTGCCCCGTGGAGCAGAGGCCTTCCTGAGACATGGGCCTCAACACAGCGCTTTGGTTGATCTGACTTTGTAAATACTGTCGCTTAATAAGTAGGGTCTAGAAGCAACAAGCTTGTTCAGCCTTGCAAGGTCTGATATTTTTGAATTCTCTTGATTTCCTTTTAGTTACACTTGGATACTGGAAACTATTTCTTGATCTCCTATCTTTCTAAAATGGCTTGTCAAATGCGTTTGTCAGTATACAACACACACTGCTAACATTGTTTCTCAAACTCTTCCTTTCAGGCTGTGTTTGCGGAGCCTGTCTGCCAGCAGCGACTGCAGGACGCAGCCCGAGCTCTGTGCCCATCACGCGCCAAGGCTTTTAGTGCTGAGTCTGTGTGATGAGAGTCACCGCACCCTCCCGCATGGGGCGCGTGGACAGATCGTGGCCCCACGGCTGAACAGCTTCCCACGTTGCCCAGCCACGTCCTGGGCCATGGGGGCAGAGGGAGGGCCGAGCACCACGCTGCCTGCTCACAGGGCGGACATGCGGGGCACAGAGGGCGAGCGGTGCCGTGGCGGGCGCAGCGGGAGGCGGGAGGCAGCAAATCGCTTGGGTGATGACGGAGGACCGACACCACGCAGCTAGCCAAAGGTCATTACAGCAGGGACTGTAGATGGTGTCTTTGGTTGTGGAGACAAGAATGCCCATGTGATGAGTCAGGTTCTCCTAGGATTTGCTATAAGGGAGAGAATTAAATGACACCCTAGAACACTAGGGTTCATTAAAGTACAAAACCCTGTATTTCCATTTTATTGTCAATGAAATGGGTATAAATATCTTCTTTATGGGAGCCGTCGCCAAGCTCCCACTTTCACCTCTGTGAGGGGCAAGGTCGGGTCTGCCTGCAGGAGCGTGGAGCTGGACGGAGATCACACAGGGGACAGTGCGGGACTCCCGGCCGGCCGGCCATGCGCAGCCGCGGCAGAGGCGGCACTCAGCTTCCTGGCTTCCTCCTCCTCCTCAGCTTTGCCTGTGCAGTTGCCCACCGTCCCTGGTAAGAACATAAGCAAAGGTGGTGGCTGAGTCCCTCACACCCCAACCTCGGGGAGGGGCTTGCTGTCTCTCCGCGGCCGGTGCCTCTTTAGCCAGCAGGTGGGCACACTTCTCCTCGTGGCCCAGACCGCCCCGGCTGCGCCCCGGCCCACGCGCTGCGGGCGGGAGGAGCTGCCTGCAGAGCCGCGTTCTGTGCGAGGTCTGCCCAGCCGCGGGAGCTGCCCACTGCGTCAACGTCCCTGCCCTCCAGGGACAGACGCGCCGCTTGGACTTGCTCAGCGACGCTCCGTATCCGTAGCAAGCTCTTTGCACGTTAGCTCCTCCATGCCCGCACTCCGACAGGCTGCTGAGCCGTTTCGCAGAGGAACCCGAGGCTCATCTGCGGGACAGCTCACCCAGGGTCACAGCCGCGGAGACGGCTTGTCTTGGGACGAAGGTGTAGATTTACTTAACGTTGTTAAGGAGGAGAGTTTACATATGTGTTCTCAAAACTTATAGTCCCCATGTAGAAGTCTGAGTTGCTGCCTAGTAGGAAATGCCCAGGATTCCTGCCCCACAGCTCATGTGGCACCATGTCTAACTCTGAGCGAGGAGAGGCCCGTGCCAGGCCAGTGCCCAGACACTGCCGGGAGCCCCAGGTGTACTGTGAGCTCAGGGTACACAGAGCCCCTACCTTGGTGCTACCTTGTCAACGGTCTCCCCCCCACATCAGGAGGCAGAGCCCTGGCTGAACCAGAATGTTCTGGATGTTTTAGGGATCAGTGACCTTGGAGGAGGAGGCTGTGGATGTCACCCGGGAAGAGGGGCCCCACTGGACCCAGGAAGCTGCACGGGATGTGGCGGGGACCACAGCAGGCCCTGGGCCCGGGTCCGTCACGGGGCGCCCTCTCCTCCCTCGGCCCTCAGCGACACTCTCGGAGCACGGACAGTGGCCTGAAGGGAGTCTGTCAGCTTGCCTGCATCTAGCTTGTCACCCACTGGAACACGGTCCTCTCTGTCACAGCCTCATGCCTCTCCTGCTGCTCAATCTCCTACGCCCACACGGTGCTGGGAACCCAGTGACTGCTTGAATGAACACACAAGTGGATCCAGTCTTTACTAAGTGGCAGTTCTGTTCTGAGGGCTGAGTTAGGGTCAGAGGCCACCACAGTGAAAGCGGCATAGTAGGCTTCTGCCTCGACTCAGAACCTAGCTTGTGCTCGCGAGTTGCACTTATTGGATTACTCATGGAAATAAAGGTCAGCCCTCTGTGGAAGCATTTAACCCTTCACTGTGCCTCCGAGCCTGGCTGTGCCCACCGGCAACAAGCGCCCTCTCGGCCTGGCGTTGGTGTCGGGTTCTTCCTGCTCCGTGAGGACCCTGGTGTGCTGGGCGCCGGGTGCTGTCCCCCTGCTGCCCTGCGGTGCTCGCCGCCCTCAGGAGCCCGCCCTGGACCTGAGGCCCCGCGCAGTGCTCAGCACAGAAGTCGAAACCCATGTATCTTTGCCACAATCAGCAATCAGCTCTGCGGGGCAGACGTGCTTCCTGGTAGGAGCAAGGAGCAGGGCTGTGAGGGGAGGAAAGGCGCCCTGGGAGCTGGGCGCAGGCCGGCTGCAGACAGGCGTGGCGGAGGACCAGCTGGGGGCAGGGCCTTGCTCAGGGCCCTCACAGAGGTCTGGAAGGGAATGGTGTTTTCAGGAAAGTATGAAAAGCTACTGCTAACCAGTTCCTTAGATGTCCTTGTTCCTCACACATCAATTTCCTTTTCCATATGTTCATGTCCTCCTCGGTGTCAAAGGTTCACATTGTGACCTTTACCCTGACCCCTGCCCTTTCAGACTTGCCCTCCCCTTTTCTCCCCAACAGCCCAGTCCATTCTACTTTTCTCTCATGTTAATCCTGAAAATATTTTTAATTGTCAGCTTCCCAAAAGTGTTTCTCCCCGCTCGTGTCCCAGAGTTCACACTGGCCCTCGGCAGTGACACTGGGGACAGACATGGCAGCCCTTCCTGCCCTTCAGCGTCTGGGTTGGCCCAGCCCTCGCTTGGGCCGTCTCGGGCAGGGAGAGCAGCCTCCCGCGGCACGGCCACGCTCCGGCACTGTGGGTGGACGGAGACAGGCGGGGTCTCCAGGGAGTGGCGGAAGGGTGCCCCTCGGGGTTGCAGGGCCACCAGGTCCATGGTGGGGACTGAGGCTGGGGGACAGAGGCATGAGTTGGGTGGGGGCTGGGGCAGGGGAACTCCCAGCAGCTGGGGGGAGGACTTCACCCAGGGGAGAACTGAGATGAGGAAGCAGTGAGGGGCGGAAGAGCAAGGCGAGGGCTGGGGTGGGAGCCGGGCACACTGTCTGGGACAAACCCAGCTCAGAGGAAGTAAGGCAGGAGGTGGGGTGACAAGGGACATGGAGGTGAGGAGCCCCCAAGAGAGGAAGGGCTGAAGTCAGGCCAGAAAAAGAGATGGACTGAACCATGGAGGGAAAGTGAGGCCCACAGGGCAAGAAATGGGTCCTAAGGGAGAAAAAGGGAGGAGGGAGACTCACCAAATCAGTCACACTATCTGGGGCTGGCACCGAGGGAGGGACCTGGGAACCTCATTCTGTGACTACTGAGAAGCGCCCTCAGAGGTGAGCGCGACTCCACGGCGTGAGCACCCCTGAAATGAAGCTCCAGAGTGCACACGCCCAGCCTGTCCGGGGCTGGGGCCCTATCATTTCTTCCATGTCCCTCCTTTGCTTTCTGTCTTCCTGCACCACAGGCTGAGTGGGACAGAGGATCGTGAGGTTCTGCCCCTGGGGCAGCCCTGTGTAATCCCCTCCCCAAGGGTGGCTTGCACCTCTGACCATATTGGGATATGCCCCTAACTAGGTGACATTATTGTAAAGTTAAGGGGATTCGAAGATGTAGTTCCAGTCCCTAATCAGTCAACTGTAAGTTGTCAAAGGGAGATTTCCCAGGTGGGCCTGACCTGATCGATGAGCCCTTTCCAAGACGGGTCAGAGAGGAACAGCTTGTGCAGCAGGGACAGTTGGTGGCCCCAGGAGGCCTTCTGGGCTGTGGCGAGGCGCCCGGCAGGTGTGTTAAGCTGCTGAGTATGGGGTAACTTGTCACAGCAGTGGAAAGCTAATACAGGTGTCTAGTCCTCCTCTCCCTGCCCAGTCCTGGGTCTACCTGTTCCGAGTCCTTGCCAGCAAATGATTACCCTGCACATGCCGGGACAGCCCTGGTCTGGGGCTTTCCTCATCCCAGGGGGCTGGAGATGGTTTTATATGACAATGGCTGACATTGTCACTATCTGACCTCTGTTGAGCACCAACCAGATGCCGGTTACTGTGCAAAGTGTTAACACCCATGACCACATCTTGCTTTCACAACAGCCCCATAAAGGGGTGTAGCTAGGAGATCTGCAGCCTTCCTGTTCAACCTCACCTAGACATGAGGAACCCCAGGCTCAGAGGTGAAGAGCAAGGTTCCAGAGCCCTACATGGCACTGTCTTCAACTGTTACGGCACTCTGTGCCTAAAGCCCCTCTTGTGAGACAGTCAAAATTCTTTTTTAAATTTTTTTTTGCCTCAGGTGTCACTCTGTCACCCGTCTGGAGTTTAGTGGCTCAATCACAGCTTGCTAAAGCCTGGAACTCCTAGGCCCAGGCAATCCTCCCACGTCAGCCTCCTTAGTAGCTGGGACTACAGGCACGTGCCATTACGCCTGGCTGATTTTTTTATTATTCTTTGTAGATACAGGGTTTTCACTATGTTGCTCAGGCTCGTCTTGAACTCCTGCCTCAGGTGATCCTCCTGTCTCAGCCTCCCAGCTGCTGGGATTACAGGCATGAGCCACCACACCCAGTCCAGAATTCAGCTTTTCAAAAGCTTAGTCTCCAGATATTATTAATGATCTTTGGGGGTTGAAGTGTCCTTGAACTCCAGTCAGAGTTAAGTAACATTTTGTAGATTCTGTTGTCAGATCACAGTCCACTCGGAGTTCTTGGTGCACTCTTGCCAAATAATGACAAGACACACGGATAGCAAAGCAAGCAAGAGGCAAAGTTCATTGAGCGAAAGTAAGATGCATTTGCCACAGACAGCAAATGGGCCCCTGTCATTACAGGAGGCCCTGACTGCTAACTGAAGTTTCATTTTATATTGTCTGGGTTGGGCCCTCCCGGCAGGCATGGCTCATGCGTCACCTTGGTGGACAGCTGTTAGTTATATGACCTAAGTCTTACTGCACATGTGGATTTCCATGAGCCACTCTGAAAACTCACTGGTGGCAGGTGGGCAAAGCTGCAATGCAGATTTATGTGAATGACATGATAATTGGCCTGAGGTTACTTTTACACATCTTTAGACCCTGTTGCATCTGCATTGGTTGGCTTTCTGGGAATTCCTTCTTCTGGGAATCGCCGGGGCACTTCTGTGGCTGTGCGCTCAGTTCTGATTGGCAGTGCCCTCCTCCTTCCTCCTGCGGCGTCATCTGAAGCTGGCGCGTGCCCCGCCTCTGTCCCTGGGAGAGTCGGAGGCGCCCGATATCTACCTAACACAGTGAATTTAGGCATTTTGAAAGGAAAAGTAATGTTATATTGCAAAAGGAGTTTAGAGTCTCTGTAGGTTATAACTAGAGTATAGTTCTAAATATTCAGTGTGATGAAATAGTCATCGTTGTACCTGTTGTATCCACTTAACTATTAAAGCTGATAATTTATTATCTCATGTACAGTGTTGAGATAATGAGCAAATTATTAATAAAATTTGACTACTATTACTGGGAAGCATCATGGCATTTTATACATCATCTTTTTTTGCATAGAATGAAATCAAGGCTGAGAAAGGTTTACAGCTACTCCATTTGAGCTGTATTACTGAGAATGGAGTTCATCTGTTGTGTATAATGGGAAGATGAGTATACAACCTTCGTGAAGACAGCACTTGACTATATGCAAGATGTCACAAACATCCTGTCATTCCTATAAACTGAATCAATTTTTAATATAATTTTGAGACAACACATTTATAAACATGTGTCAAACAGAATGTAGCCAGTAGAACAGTGATTGGATTTGGTATGTCTTGAGATTACTCTTTCATGTTTACTGGAAAAATAGGGGAAATGATTGTGTTTTTTGCTTGTTCAAATTCTTTATCCATGTATTGGAATTTTGTAGTAATTACTTAGATGATGTGCTTAACATAAGTTACAGAACTGTCTATTAAATGCGCTGTGTTCATTACCTAACCATTATAAGATACTAGATTTTTCTCTATATCTTTGCCTTTCTTTAAGACATATTATTACTTTTTAGAACATTCATGAAAATATGTGACAGAAGGAGAAGAAATTAACCCAATTTTTTTCACTACTTATCCCTTTTGCTCTACATTGTGGCTTAACATGGTTGATGATATTGGTGAAAATCAAGGCTGAGATATTTATAAATTCTGTTTTGTTTTTTGTTTGTTTTTTGGAGACAGGTTGGGGGGGGGGCGTGCTATGTTGCCCAGGCTGGTCTCAAACTCCTGAGCCCAAGAGATCCTCTGGTTTCAACCTCCCAAGCAGCTAGGACTACAGGCATGAGCTGCTGCACCTGGCCACATGAATTTTCATTGTTATATATTTTACTTCTGATATATGTGAACCTATATAATTTAATTATTCAGATAATATTATAAATTTTCTGCTTAATATTAAATAATAAATGCCTTTCATCTGTGACTATCAAATCTTTAAACGTTGCACATTTACACTGTGGCAAAAATGATGTGATTAAGGCTAAGGCTCTCTAAAGCAGAATCAGGAGCCGGCTGGAGAGTTGCACTCACACCTGCTAAAGACCCCACCACAGAGCGCTCCAGCAGACCTGGGCAAGCAACTGAAGCCAGTGTCCTGCAGCCGGCAGCATCTCTGCGCTGGGAGCACCCTCATCAACCAATCGAATGGGCTGTGATTTAGGATTTCTGCCCAGCCAATGAGCAGCCTCCGAAAACGCCTTTTTGTGGCAATACCTTATGAAAACTGTCTCCTGTGATATGTAGGGGACACTATTCAGGGCTGCCCTGATTCAGTGCACCTGAATTGCAGCTCTTTGTTTCCCAAACAAATGCTATGTCCTTTGACCTCTGTGTCAATCTATTTAGTTAACCACACAATATCTACTTAACTTTGTTAGTATCTATTACTGATAATGCTGGTCCTGAAAGGTCTGATTATGTACAAAATAAATAAGTAAACAGTATTAATAATGCTGGGCCTTTCATTGCTTCATAAAATTTTTAATCTTAGGCAAGAAAATACAAAAT